TCTACACCGCCACCTGCATCTTCAGTTAAATTTTTTGCTGATTGTTTTAAGACCCCGAAGTCGAAGAAAAGAAAAAGAGTCCAGAGAAAAGATGCTCAGAGAAAAAAAGCACAGCAAAAGAGAAAGTTGAAGTAGACTGTTATACAACATCAACAATGCAATTCTTCTGATTAATTGATCCATTATCTTTCAAATTTAAGATTATACGATATTTAGGTTTCTATTTGATTAAATTTTCACTCTAATTTACCCAATCATTGGGTTTTTATAGATCTAATATATTTGGTAGTTAATCGTTGATTCTTTGATCGATATCAAGTTTAATAAATATAATTGCATTCCAAATTATTATTGTCATTATATGAGGCTGATCAAAATAGCGGTTTCCCTATATAATTATATGAATCACAGTACGATCACGGCTCAAACACGGCTCGATCAAAATAGTGATCTATCACTAGCTGTAACATTATATAGCAGAGCTAGTGTCTCTGATTTTACCTAACTCTGATTGACACGTGCTCGACGTGGATTAAAGGCTGAAGATCCGATATCTGATTCCGAATAGCAGTAGTGTAGATAGTCTAATTTTCTTCGTAGTTATATATCAATGTATTAGGTTAAATAGATATTTTCGTTTGTAAATATGTGTCAATCAGAGATAGGTAAAACCAGAGACACTAGCTTCGCTATATCAATGATGGTCATGGGCTTAATAAAGATTCTCATTTGTAAATACATCAATCGCTTATTGTGAGTATAGGAAGCTGATAATGTACTTATGTATAGTCGTGATTATTTTTTTTTTCTTGGCAAAAGTGATCGGCAAACCTGGGACCAAAAGTCCCACTTTGGAATAATTCAGATTTTTTTCGCTAATCATCAAATTTGTCTTTAGCTATTTCATCATATATACGCCTGAAGGGATATATACCACGAGTAATGCATGGAATGCACTTTCAGAGAAAGATAGCGAACATCAGATAAGCCTCTCCAAAACCGCGATCAAAGAAAATCTGGACGTGCTTCAAAGCAGTGTGAAAAATTACTAAAAAATAACAGATAGTTTCCCTGTATTTATGTGTATACAGCAATAACTGTACTGATTTATCTATGCAAATAAACAAGCTTTTGAATATATCTGTATTTTATTTAACAAATGGCAAACGCACAATCTAAGATTGATTTATTAGAGGAACAGATTTCCAAGCTTGTAGCTGAGAATATTGAACTTAAAAGAGAGAAGTCTGAATTCTTAGCTAAGGAAGCGGAGCTTATGACTAGAATATCGGAATTAGAACAATCTGCAAAAGAAAGTGTAGAGAATACGAAATTAAGAGATGCCGAACTCAACGAGCTTAGATCCAGAGTTTCAAAATTGGAACAGAAGCAATCGCAAAATGACGAGGATGCTCTCGTATCTAAATCATATGAAGATACCAATCAATCTTCAGTCTGCGAAGCAGGATACTCTGTATCTAATACTATCTCTACTAAACTGGAAAATTATAACGACACCTCTTCAGAGATGATCTCACAAAGTAAGGATGTTCCGTTATCAGATATAGTTGATAATACTTCAAATTCTGACTCACGGAGTGAGGATGCTATCACATCTGAATCTAATAATGCTCCAAATTCCAATGTAACTGATATCGCTTCAAATTCTGATGTGTGCCAGGAGACAAAGACTCAGCCAGAGACCTTGATTACATCAGCGGAGCTTGCACATCCAAGAACTTCTACATCATCTAAATCAATGGAAGATAAGGAGATAGATAAATTCCTGGATTCAAAGCATCGAGAAACGATTAGTAAAGAGATAATTCAGCACATTAGAGAAAAGAAACTTCGGGATCAAGAATTATCCTGTATATCGGTTGAAGAATCATGTAGTGAAAAAGTGAGACCGAAAGTCCCACTTGAGCAAAACAGCAAATCGGTGCCAATACAGCCTGAAGAAATAAAAGTTTCGCATGATTATATAGTCGCCCAAGATTTCATTCAAGAAGTGTCTTCAGGGTTCACAGATGAGGAGATCATCGAAGCCATTGATATACTCACTACCAATATGACAATAGAAGTTGAGCTAGCTCATTTATTTCTAAAAGTAAGTATTGAAGAAAAAAATGCTATACAAGCTAAACAAAAAGAGATTTCATGTCGTTACTCATACGGAAAAAGATTTGAAATGGGAGTTCAAGAACTTATGGTAAAAGAAAATATTTCAGAACAGACAGCGAGAAAACGATTATTCCAGGATATAATAAAACACCTTTCTGGAATAACTTTGGAAACCTTACGTAAAAGAACCCAAAGATCTATAAAACTTTACAAATTAATCGAAAAGATAGGAGTTGATAAGATTAAGAATATCAAGACATTCAGTGCGGATTCTATTTCAAAGTTTACACAACCTCAAATTCAAATAATTCTGGATTATTTTAGTGAAAGTGAAAAAGTGAGACCAAAAGTCCCACTTGAGCAGGATGGCATTGTCAATCCTGTATCTAATGCAGAATCTATTGATATTATCAACAGAGCCGACATGACCAAAAAGACCCTACCGATAGCTCAAGCAAGTGTACAGCCTATATTTGAACCAGAAATCAATGTAAGTGTATCATTCACATCTTTCACCTCTGATTCGGAAGATATAATAAGTAAGGATAACAAATCTTTAATGGAAGCCGAGGTAAGTGTACCCAACGAAACCTTAGACGAAAATAGCGATAATGACGTAAGCCAGCTTCCAGCTGAAAATTTCTCTGATGATTTATTAGATTCTAATTCAGAATCCTCTGATGATGAAGAGAATATGGATGATACCGATAATGATGATAAATACGATAATGAAACGAATTCGAAAGATTCAAATAAGGTAAATACTACACATAATCGTGCCTATTTCCTTAATAAAATAGCAGAACAATATCCTGATTTATATTGGGAAGGTAGAGATGGAAACAATGATTATTATGGGATTACGGATAAATTTTTATGCCCGCTATGCAAGTCAGAACATTATGAGGATAAAGGTATAGAAGGCAGATATAAAAATGGATCCTATTTTATTAAATGTGAACAGAGTGGAATTAAAATCAAGATAACAGCATAAACCCACCTTCTCGTGGTTGCATCATTCGAAGCTAACTATATTAATCTGGAGATGAGCTCGGTATATATTATTTTTTTATCTGTTATTACAAATTTAAAGAGATGCGAGGTCATATAAAACGGCAATATGAATAAATTAACTCCCGAATATTTGGAGTGGGAAGCTAAATTAGAATTACCAAGCATTTTGTCAGATAAAACTCGTTCTAGGTTCTATAATCGATATAAGAATAAAACTGGGCTTGATCCCTGGATAAAGTCTGAAACTTCTGAATCCTCACAAATCGATAACCATCTTTCACGAGACTGTATAATCAAGATTTCTAAATTTCCGGGAGAAAAAGATGTGATTATTGAAGCAGTACAAAAACGATTCCCTTTCTTGAGATATATTAAATCAAATGCATGGTATCGAGATGTTTTTAAATATATAGATCCAGAAGCTAAATGTCCGATATGCGAAAAAGTACATACACATCGAGGCATATGGGGCGATTGGAGCTGTCTAGGTAAAAATGATCACTATTTTCTTAACTGTCCTTTTCGTATTGATCAAAAGAAAATTATAATTGCCATACAGAGCTTACCGGAAGCTCAAGGAGAAGTACCAAACAAAACCCGCCTTTATCAGCCAGGAGCAGGCTTACGCCAATATGCCATCGAACATGGAATGGATCCCGAGAAATTTTCAATCATTACTGAAGCTGAGAAAAATAGATGGACCATGGGATGTTTTCGTGGAGATTTGGAAAGAGACATACGATTTTATTGTGGTGGAATAGAAAGTAAAGAAGATCCTAGAAAATATCATAAATTTTTAACAGATCTTCGAAAATATATCTACAGCATCTCTCATCAGCATGGTGGAAACAAAATGGACACCATTCGAATTTCTGCTTCTGGATTTTATAAGGCGCATACCACTGATGGGGTCCACATGTCCAGAGATATA